CCACCACAACTGACTATGGGACCTGGGACAAGGCACTTCACCTCTCTGGCCTCAGATTCCTTGTCAGTTTCACTTAGCATGGACCATCCCCCAAGACTGCTTTTGCACCTGCAGTCTCCCCTCCTGGAATGACTTTATGCCAACACAAATTCTAGGCTTCCATAAAGACCCAGTTCAGAAACCCATTCCTCTGTGGCTAATCCCCTCCTGGAATCATCTCTTCTCCCTCTGACCATGGTGGTATTAATTATGGACTAAGAGCTGAGCTGGAGGCCCCTTAGAAACCAGCTAGTCCAACCCCTGATTTTAAAGACCTGGAAATGAGGAATTGATCGAGGAAAGTACTTGCCCAGCACCATAGAGCAGGTGCAGAATGAAGCTGTGATGGTCTAGGGATCTTTCTGCTGCCTGGAGCACAAGCTTGGGCATTTCCAGCTCTACCACTTGCCAATGAACATAACCTCTCTGTGCCTCAGTTTCCTCACCCATAAAATGGGGAGAATAATGCCTGTCTCCCAGGGCTGCTATGAGAATTAAGTGAGATGATGGGCTTTGTAAACTGTAAAGTGATGTGCACTTGTGAAGGTTAGACTCCCTATTACCTCCACAGAAATAGCAATAGAGACATGTGAGCTCCTTGGGGCAGGGATCTGCCTCAGGCACCAGGACACACCCAGTTGTAACCCCAGATTGATGTGCCAGTTGACAACTGGCACTCAGAAAGCCAGGCTGGGGAGCTTGTGGTCAGCCCAGGAACGTGGCTCAAGAATAGGAGCCATGGGTGCACCAGGGCTCCAGGACCCAAGAGAGGTCCTCGGCTGGGACACTGGGAGAAAGAGGAGGGTGGTGGACCGACGACTTTAGCACACGTGATGGGAGGCCACAGCACAGGGTCCAGAGAGGGCTCTGACATCACACAGGTCCGGGCTCCAATCGCAGCTGGATTTTGTCTGGACTGTCTCCCACCCTGGCGCAGTGTGAGGCTCAAAGGAGGCCCAGCAGTCCTCTAGTCTGGTGCCTAACACAGGGCAGCAGTGTAGTTAATGCCCTTTCACTCCCTGCTCCCCCTTTCTGAGCAGTAATCCCTTCCATTTGATATAGTCTGCAAGGAGCATTTACTTTTCTCAAGTAAATATTCCATGAGGTATGTGTTATCGTCTCCATCTTACACAGAGGGAAACTGAGGCTCTGAGAGGCGAGAGGATGTCCCTGGGCCACATCAACACTGAGTGGCAGAGATGGGACTCAAACCCGGGTCGACCTGAATTCAGAGCCCAGGATCCCTCCTCCACTCTGCAAGACCTCAGACCTCTGTGTCAGGAGGATATATAGGCAACAATCAGGGAATCTCACCTGGATCAGCTCCTGGGCTGTATACTTTGTCAGCTGAGCCATCTCCAGGCTCAAGGAAGAGCACAACGCTGTTGGTAGACATGGCTCAGTTAAATCCACAGGGATTACTCAGGTCAAGCTCGCTCAATCTGGGGTTATATTAATAGAGGCAGTAACCAGGAGGTGGGAGGTGAAAGGCAATTTAGGTCCAGTGCTGGATCCCATGTTCTAGAAGGATGTGGACAAACAAGGGATAAGGGGCTGGAGCTTACCAAGCAGCATGTCTGGCTTGAGGATGTCCCTAGGGGTGGTTATAAGGCACAGGCTGTTCACTGTGGAGAAAAGAAGCCTCAGAGGGACCAGATCATCACCTTTCTATCCCTGCCAGGCTGTCTCCAGGCAGAGGGAGCAGGCAGGGTTTACAGGTCCAGAGTGCAGAGCTGGGATCAGTGGGGAAAGCCACAGGCTGTTGGACTTGAAAGCCGCATGAGAAAATGCCTAAGAGTTACATAAGAGAGAAGCTGGGAAAGTGCTTATAAACTGTGAAGTATGGTGAATGATACTTGTGAATAGTCCCTGCAACTATCAAGTTGTAAGCAGATGACCTTGAAGCACGAGCCACAAATAATAATGACTGAAGAGAATTTTTCAGAGCAGAGTATTACAAGCAATTGAGACATTCAACCAAGTAAACCAGAAACATTTAACAACATGATGCTTGGTGAAGGAGGAGGATGGAGAGGAAGGGGGAGTGGCCAGTTACCTTTCGCCATCTAAGACACAAAACAAAGCAATGGGGACCAAGACGGCCCCAGGGCAAGCCCCAAAAACTGATGAGAGAGAAGGCAATAAAAGGAGGCTTGAGTGCCCATGGGAATAGAGGCCTGTGTCGGTGATAAGGGACAAAGGACAGGGGAGCTAGAATATTCTCAGAGGCCTCCTGAGCCTCTAGATCCTTAACCTGGAGACCCAGGTAGCCAGGCCTCCCCTCCCTGCTGCAGAAGGAAATCCCAAACCCAGCAGCTGGGAGTAGGGACAGAACATCCCAGCTCTGCACAGAGAGGCTCACCTGACTCAGGTAGAACAGCCCCCTTCCTGCTGCAGGGGACAGTATCTATGCCTCCCCCACCCAGTGACAGCAAGAGGGGCAGACGCCAGCTCAGCCCCAGTGGACCCTGGAGATGGGTGGGGAGGCGGGGAGCCTCCTGCATGTCCTCAATCTCTGTCCCTCTGCTCCCCCTTTTTCAACACACCACCACTACCACCTGCCGCCGCCATCCCCAGGCCCTCCTGCACTCCACTCACGCGCTCTTCTCCACCTTTTGGCTTCCCGGCTCTCAACCCTCCAACGACCACCCAAATCCAGACTCCTCCTCACACTGACTGCACCTTGGAGACCCAGCCTCTGCCCACCCCCAACCGCCCCAGGCTCCCAGTGCCCCTCTGTCACGTGGCTGCAGCCATGCCAGCTGCTTCCTGTTTCCTGAATACATCAACTTCATTCTCGTCTCAGGGCCTTTGCACTTGCTGTCCCCTCTGCTTGCAAAACTCTTCCCCCAGCTCTTTGCCTCTCACCTCAGGTCTGACCTCAAATATCACCCCCAGAGGGGACTCTGGGCCCACATGGGCCAATGCTGCTCCCATCCAGCCCTGCTGCTGTCCTCACCCGCTTTTGGTCTCTTCACAGCACCACCACTCCTTGGGATGATGTGATTTTTACATTTTCCTGTGTGCTGTTCTGCTCCCGCACCCCCACCATTTTGTTCACAGCTGTGGCCCCAGAGCCTATAACTCATTAAGTATAAACCAAGTAAATGAATGAATGATTCATTATCTCTTTTATTCACGTCTCTTTTATTCCTTTGCTCCCTTTTTCTCTCACTCATCTGTCCATCTCTCCACCCTCTCACCCCTGCCTGGGCTCGGCGTCTCCAGGGGTGCAGCGTGGGTTCTGTTCTGAGGACAGGAAGAGCAGCGGCTCCCAGGCGAGGCCAGAGGAGGTCTGGTGTCGGAGCATCCTCCGCCTGAGAGAGGGAGGGGACTAGGAAGGGGGACAGCCACTGCTACACCATCAACCTTCCCAAGGAAGGAGGGGGGCTGTGGTGGTGGCAGCCAGGGGCCTTTGAACACCCATCAGCAGCACATACAGCTGGGATTCTGAAAAGATCTTAATCCCTCTCTCTTCTCCCACCCTCCTATCTCCTGCCATGGGTTCCCACTGGATGGAGCTAATAGGAAGTCAGAGATCAAGGTTTCTGGGGTGAGGCAGGCCATGAGGGTCACCCCCGAGGGCTAGTGCAGGACAGAGAAAGGATCTAGAGGAGGCACACCCCATCATTTCCATTTCCATCAGCTCCCCTGATCTCTGATATGAGCATATGGCATTCTCTCCATCTTCTGTAAGGTGCTCTGCAAACAGCTCTACTGCAAAGTGCTCTGCAAACAAACAGCTCTACAACAGCGTCCAAACCCCTCTTCTCAGCAGATGCTGTCCCCAAGTGCCCCCCTATAGAAATTCTGAATCAAGATGTGTGTCTCACCTCTTGCCTTCCTTTCTCATCTGATGAGACATGGGCAGGGTGCCCTGAGCACACAGTGACCCAGGGACATGCCGACAGGCTGGGCCTCTCCCAAAAAAGAAGTATCCGGGCCCCAGGGGGGTGGCTCCAAGGAGCAGGGGCTCCAGAGGGGCTAGTGGGGCCTCCTCTAGCTGGCTCCTGAGGGCCACCCACCCACGTGGCTGGGACAAGCATCTGAGAGAAAGAAAGGGAGGCTGCCTCTCGGTCCTCCAGGGCTGGGCTCTGAGCTTCGGAAGACGAGTCAGCACTCAAGGACTGGGGGCAGATGTGGGCACAGAGGACGAGGGCCAAGATAGGGCCAGGGGAGGCCAGTCAGTAGGCTGGCCCAGCTTGGTGCCTGTCAGGCCCCACAGGCGGGTCTGGGCTTCTTGGCCAGGCCCACAGGAGGAGCTGCCCCAGGGGAGGGGGAGGCGGCTGGTGTGTGGCAGGCTGTGGGGGAAGCAGAAGTCAGAGTGCAAGTTTTCAGAGGCTGGGGTTGGGTGAAGGGCAGGGTGAAGCCATGTGGGGGTAGCCCTGGCACACAGTGAGCCCTGGGTCACGCTTCTCCCTAATCCTGCCCTGAGGAAGGACCTGCAGCCCCTATTCTGGCAGAGCTGGGAGTGGCAGGAAGGCCTCGGGGATGGCCACTCCCTGGGAGCACTGCTCTGACTTCCCTGCTAAACAAATGGACGTTGAGTAGGTGGGGGCGGCCTGCCTGGTCTCCGGCTAGTAGGGAAGGCAGGAGTGGGGAGAGACGGGCAGCCCTAACCCAGACCCCCCCCCCCCGGGGAATATGGGGACGTCTGGAGAGATGGCAGAAGGCCTGGCAGGGAGCTGGCAGAGCAGGGAGATCCGCTTGTCCTCTGCAAGCTCAGGCTTCTCTGGGAGAGGGGAACAGTGACTGCCCCCAGTGGAGCCAGCATGACTGGTCAGCTCCTACATCCAGGCCCCGCATGGGTCTGGTCCACAGTGGAGACCAAACACATGGGCTGGGGGCCGCACGGGTAGATGGGCAGAGGAGCATGGATGGTGTGGACTGCCCACCCAGGGTCCAGGAAAACAGGTGGTGCCTGCCCCCACCCAGCACAGCCACTCCTGCCCCACCCCAGGCCGATCTGCCCACCTCACCTCAGCAGCCCGAGGAGCTGGTACTTCATTCTCGAATAGACTTCGAGAGCCAAGCTCCTGAGCACATCCTGCATCCATCGCAAGTCGGCCAGCACATCGGGCAGCCACGCCGCCAGCCTGGAGGAAGGGGCAGCAACGGCTTCATCTGGCTAAGCCCAAGCGTGCGGCCCAGCCGGGCCCACCCTCCCCACGGGCCCAGAGCGGAGCCGGGGGTCCCTGCCCCCCAGGCACCAGGCCTAAAGGAAGTGCAATGAGGGGTAAGAAGCGCCCAGAGGTATTGGCTCCACCGCAGAGCAGGTTGGACCATGGGGCACCTGCAGAGGCACGAGGGGCCAGGGAACAACGGATGATGAACTCTGAAGGTGGTGGAGGCAGCCAAGCCCTTTGGGTTGACTCCCTAGGGCACGAGTAGGAAGCCCAGGGGTGGAAAAGGCAGGACCTTGGGTCAGGCTGGCTCGGGGTGCAGCCCAGCTCCCCTGCTCATCAGCTGTGTGACCTGGGCGAGTCAGGGAACCTCTCTGGGCCTCACCTGCCAAATGAGGACAATCAGCTCACCTGCAGTTCCTAACCTCCTCCCCATCTTCACCCCTTCCTCTCTCATCCCCAGACCAGCCCCTGCTCCTGACTCACACCCCTTCATCCACCCTCCTCTCAGCAGCCAGTGACCTTCCCAAAACAAACATCTGACTGTAGCCCGTTATTGCTCAAAACCCTCCTGTGCTCCCCACGTGGGCCCTGCAGGGTCAGCAGAGGGCCAGGTCATCCAACTATGGCGGAGAAAGCACCTGGCTGGGCACCATCTCAGACTCACTGGATGCTGCAGGGCCTCACCTACCACCAGTGTCCTTAGAGGAGCCTCTAAACTAGGGCCTCAAACTGGGCAGACAGTCCACAGAGTGTAGTGTGATGAGCAAAACACAGGCTGGACCGTCACCTCCCTTGTTCTGGACCTTCTGCCTCTGTTATTGCAACCTAAATGTTGAGTATGTGGATTACAGAAAGTACCAAGTATGAATTTCCCTGTGGTCTAGGCAGGCCTCCCCATCAGTGCTCAGACATGGAGGTTTTTTTGTTTTGTTTTGTTTTTTGTAACCGAAAAGGCTAGAATTTGCATTTATCCTTTTTGATTTCAACTTGTGGTTTCAGTCCAACAGCTTAGCGAGAGGAGAAGCTGTGCCAGTAGAAAGCTCTCTCCCTGCTTTGGGTCACCAGCAATTTAAACAGCACGGTGACCCAGATTAACTCAACACGGAGTAAGACAGAGACCTGTGGCTCAGTGTCATAGACCTTCTTCTGGGCAATACAGAATTTTTTAAAATACAGATCTTCCCGTGACTTCCCTGCTGAAACCCTTTGCTGCCTTCCCACCACTGTCAGGATAAGACCACACTCCTCTCATGGCTACAGAGCTCTGCAGGTCTAGCCCTGCAGCCTCCCCAGCCCCACGTCGTACAGCTTTTCTCCACCTTTGGGCTCCAGCCGCACTGGCCTCCCTTTCTCCTCCTCAAATGAGCCTTACTCCCTTCTGCCTTCTGCTCCAGGACATTTGCACATGCTGTTCCGTCCATCGGGAATGCTTTTCCCCTCCCTCTTTGCCTAGCGGACTCTTATCCTTCCTTCAGATTACAGCTCAAAAGTTACCTCCTCTAGGCGGCCTTCCCTGACCAGATAGCCCCTAGCGTGAGCCGTCCCAGTTCACAGCCAGTGTAGACCTCTCTAGGTATCTCTGGGTAGAGCTGTGATTGCACAGGTGAATGTGTGATGATTTGTGGGCTGTGAGGCTCCACAGGCCAGGGACTGGGTCTGGGTCAGTGCTGCCTCCCTGGCCCCCAGCCAGGGCGTGCCTCCTCATAGGCCCTCAGTAACTACTGGTGGAATGAATGAGCAAACAAGGCAGTGATCCATTAATCAGCAGAGTCAAACAGTTAGTGAGGGCTTAACCACAGCCAGTCTGCCCTGGCAGGACCTTGTTTTATAGAAAAGGAATCTGAGGCCCAGAGAGGTCAAGAGACCTGGGCCAGGCCACACAGCAAATCTGAGCCAGACCAGCCCCTAGAGTTGTCCTCGGAAACAGCACGTGTTCTCCGAGGCTCTGGCAGGTGGGGCAGTGGGCCAAAGGTCCTAGAGACACGGGAGGGGCCAGGGCGCTGCCCCAGAGGCCCCTGCCTGATCGCTGCTGCTACACCACCTCCCCATCAGTCCTGTTTTGCGGAGGAGACCAGCAGACCCCACCAGACCAGGGGCAGCAGCCCCAGGAAGAGTGGGACCTGCCCGGCTCTGCCCGTCCAGTGTGCCAGCCGCCCTCTCTGCCGCGGGCACCGGTCTCCCCACGCCCGGGCGGCAGCCACGCCCCCCCCAGGCGCCCGGGCCGGGCCTCACCTTCGGCTGCGGAGGTAGGCTACTCGAAGGGCAGCGTGCAGGGCAGCGGCAGGTACGTCAGCGCCCGCCCGGCCCCGAGCGGCAGAAGTGGGCCCAGGGGCTGGGGTCGCGCGTGCGCGCTTGCTTCAGCGCTGCAAGAGAAGCCGCAGCACGGCCCCGCCCACTGGGCAGCTGCCCGGGAGCCCCCGGACTGGCAAGCCCCCCCACCCCTCCAGCCCACCCTCTCAACGTCACCTTTAGGGCCGGCAGCCAAGCCCCTCTCTACCTCACAGTCCACAGACCACACCCCCCCCCCCCACCCCCCCATCCGCACTGCCCCCCACCCCTCAGAACCAGCACTGGTCAAGCCCCTACCAGGAGCCAGCAGGGGGCCAGGCCCTCAGCCCATGCTCCCTCACTGTCCCTGAAATGGGTAGAGTGGAGATGAGGAGCCTGAGGTTCAGAGTGGAGAAGTGACTTGCCCAAGGACCATCCCCAGGAAGTGGCAGGATGGACCCGAGGCCTGTCAGGCTCCCCAAGCTCTTTCCACCTCTCTGGCCCCTCTGGAAGGTCCACTGTGCCCCCCCCCCACCAGGGGACAGGTGTCTGTACCTTGTCTCCCTCGATAACAGTGACACGTGGGTATTATTAACAGCAGCAGCAGCTGTGTCCATAACCACCATTTCCCGAGCCCTCTATCCCCTGAACTGACCAGAGTGGAAGGGACCGGCGTCCTGGCCAGGGCAGAGCCAGAGCCCAAGTCCCGGCCTCCAGCCCAAGGCTCAGCCACACACACACCACCAACCCCCACTCCGGCCAGCGCCGTCCAGAGACAGCCCAGTCCGAAGGCCCGGCTCCCCGTTTACCCGCTGTGTGTCCTGGGACGAGTCCCTTCCCCTCCCGAGCCTGGATCACCTCGCCTGTCCTGTGGGGACACAGCAAGACCTACCTCCCTGGGCAGGAAGGCGAGGATGAAGCGATGCCCTCCAGGGCCGGCCAGATAACAATGCCCTTCCCGGCCTGGGCGCTGGCTGCGGGGCGGGGACCCCGGGGGTCAGTGCCCCATGGTAGAGGCGGCTCTCTGGTGCCCCCATGTGGCTGCAGGGAGGCTGCCACGGTTCCAGAGCCCCAAGCCTGGACCTCCAGGGCTCAGCGCAGATCCAGTCCCTGTCCTGCACGCCCTGTGTGGTCTCCAGTGCTGAAAGGGGCATCCTCCTCGTCTCCCCAACCCTTGCCCACCCCCATTGTCCCCACTCTGGCCTCGACCATCATCATCTCTCCTCCTAGCCTCCTACCTCTTCAGCCAGTCCCCTCCCAGCTAGGTGCCATAAACACTGGACCAGAGTTCAGAGCAGCAGTGAACGCTGAAAAAGAGGGGTCGCCCCCCAGCGGCACCATCTCTCCCTCCCACAGTTTTCCAGGCCACCTGCCCAACCCTCCCAGCTTCCCCAAGCTCATCTCTGCTACCCTGCCCTCGACCACTGTGTTACAGCCACGGGGGCCTCCAGCTCCACCCCTCAACTCCAGGACATTTGCACATGCTGTACCCTCTGCCTGTACACTCATCTTCCCCCTCTCTTTGCCTGGCCAACCCCTCCTTTCGAGTCTCACTTAGATGCTGCTCTAACTCGCCCCCTCCCCACCATTACATGTGTCTGTGGCACCCTGTGCTTTCCTGTTATTGCAACTGTGACATTTAGGTCACCAAGCAGGAGAGCAGACTAAATGGTTTAGAGCAGAACTCCTAGTTCTGCCATTTGCTAGCTGTGTGACCTTGGGCAAGTCACTTAACCTCTCCGTGCTATGGTTTCCTCATCTGTAGGATGGGGACAATTCAGTACCATCCTCAGATTGTGGTTGGGAGGATGAAATGAGTCCATCTCCCTCTGGAGGATCTGGACCCTCTGTGTGTGCCTCTCCTGTGTCCCTCAGGACCTGCTGCCCTTTCCTGGACAGTGGGCAAAGACTTGGCTTTCTCAGGCACAGACGTGGGTTTGAATCTCCCAGTCACAGGCTCTGAGACCCTGGTGGGTCCCTTCCCACTCCAAGCTTCAGTTTCCTCATTGGTGAAATGGGGTAAGAAAGACACTCAGGCCCACGGCTGTGGTGAGGAGGGAATGACACAAAGTGTACTTAGTAGGTTCTCAAAAAGTGAGTCCTGCCCTCTTCCGGACTGTGAGCACCATCGGGGCAGGGTCCCCGGGCCCAGGCCCCTGCGGACAGGGCCCCTGCCGGGTGAGGCAGCGCAGGAGGAAGGGGCAGTACCGGCCTCCAGCTCCGGCAAGAGCTGTTCAAAGTCGGGCACGTCCTTCACCAGGACGCTGGGCACCGCCCAGCTGAGAGACAAGCCCGCCATCCGGCCTTTGTCGTGGCCAACGTCCCAGGTCCCGTTAGCTGGGGCTGGGGGCTTCTTAGACGCCAACGTCCACAGCGCTGGCTCCTTGGTGAGTCCTGGCTCAGAGGAGAGGAGGGATATGACGGGTCAACCCACCTGGGGCCTCCCGGTGACAGTGACTCCCGGCTCCCCACACAGTCCATGGCGTCCGCTGGAAGTTGGGGAAACTGAACTACATCAGCAGACCCCGACCTTCTCAGGAATGAGGGTCCCACTTAACACACACACACAAATGCCCCTGGGGTATCATAAGACAGTTGTTCTCATTTTAGCGTCCATTGATTGAGAAGAAACTGAATGACCAAGAGCTGCTGTGACCAGTAACCCTTTGGAAAAGGTGGGAAATTTATTGGTTACAACAAATACTAGAAAAACATTTGTCCCTGTGTGTGCAAAGCATTCTGTTTGCCTACAACACAGGCTCGCATGTGTGGACTCAGACTCCAAGGTCTTGGCTGGTTGCCTTCTGAATGCCCAGCACCCAGCACGGAGACTGGTACACAGACAGTGTTTGCGAAATGAACAAGTTGTCCTGGTTAAGTCAAGAAACAGGCAGGCCATGGGCCCAGGTGGCAGGCCTGTCTGCAGGTCCAACTTCATGGAAGCTGGACACTGGGATCAGAGAGCAGACCCAGGTCCCACTTTAAGAAGCCAAGGAGGGCTGGCCCTGTGGCTTAGCAGTTAAGTGTGTGCGCTCCACTGCTGGCGGCCCGGGTTCGGATCCCAGGCACGCACCGAGGCACTGCTTCTCCGGCCATGCTGAGGCCGCGTCCCACGTACAGCAACTAGAAGGATGTGCAGCTATGACATACAACTATCTACTGGGGCTTTGGGGGAAAAAAAAAAAAAAAAAAATAAAAAAAAAAAAAAAAAAAAGAAGCCAAGGAGAGAGCCAGGGAAAAAAAAAATTGTCCTTAAAATAAAGAAAGCCAAGGAGAACGATTTCCCATGGACTGTTTATAAAAAGACGTCAGGCCACCAGCTCAGGGGCTTTGCCCATGAGACAATTGGAGTCTGAGCTCTTCTGGACAATGGGACTTGAGGGGCTGGCCGGCTGTTCACAGGCCCTGCCGCTCGGTGCATCCAGGGCAGAGAGCGAGATGGACAGAGACCCAGATAGAGAGGCCCGTTGAGAAGGTGGTGGGGAGGGGGCTGGCATGGCACCCCCAGGCCTCCTTCAGGATCCTGGGTCCAACCTCCTTATTGTCCCAAGGAGCAGACTGAGGGCAGAAGGTCCCTATCAGGTGCCTTTCCAGGGCCAGGTACTGAGCAAAGGGCTTTCCCACGGAGCCCTCCAATCTTACAGGCAGGGTTATTACCCCCACTTCACAGATGAGGGGACTAGAGCCCAGAGATGCCAAATGGCTTGTCCGAGTCACCCAACTGGTTAGGGCCAAGCCGAGACAGGGTGCTGGGCCTCCAGACCCTGCTGCCCCTGAAATGCTGACTCAATCCTGCAAGAGAAGAGGGGACCAACTCTTCACAACGTCACCAAGACTCAGCCCCCGAAAAGGGAGAATCCAGCCCTGGGGGTGACCCTGTTAACAGCACGCTGACCACATCAGCCTCGGTGTAGCAGGTCCCCGCGGCAGGTCCGCGTGTGACGGCACGGGGTCCGGGAGGACTTCTGAGTGCGGGGACCAGAGCTTCAGCCTGCACTCCCACCCCCGAACCTCGCCCACCGTGGGGCGCCAGGCGCAGCTTCTCTTCCCTTCACAAAGCTGGGGCGCTGACATGACTTCTGGGCTCCAGCCCCAGGCTTGAGGAGGGGCCAGGAGCCGCCCCACCCAAGACGTAACGAAGGGGAGCCCTGCTCCCGAGAAGCCCTGGGCAGGAGAGCTGGGGGCTCAGGGAGGACAGTACTCCCCATTTTCTAGATCCAAACACCAAGGCCAATCTTCCTTCCTTCCTTTATCTATTACACCCACCTCGATCCAAAAAGGACTTAAGAGGACTTACAAAATACATCCTCGATGTGATTTCTTTTTTAGTAAGGAAAGAAATGAGGACATGGAGAAATACTGGAGGTGAGGCTGAGCCCAACGATGAGACACAGCCGAGGAGGTCTGAGCTTCATCCTGAGGACAGCGGCAGTGCGGCTCAGGGAGAATCTCGAGGCCACAACCCAGAGGCGTGAACACCGAGCTGCTGGTTTAGGGACCTGTCGGTCTCTCGGGGAAGCACCACGCCCTGTACCACTCCCACCCTCGCTGTGTTCCCCTCTGAAAGGGCACATGGGCTGCAGGAGTTCTGAGGAGAGGGGCAGGTCAGGGAAGGCTGCCTGGAGGAGGGGTTCGGGCAGAGCCTTGAAGGGAGGGAGGGTTGAGGGAGGCAGAGGTTCCAGGAGGGCGTTCTAGAGTGAAGACGCAGAAGTGCAAAAGTGCAGGGTGAGTCCAGGCCTCAGTGAGGGGACCCATGGGATAGAACAGAGGGTGTGGAGGGGAGGAATTCAAGATGAGGCTGGTGAAGATGTGGGGCTCTGTGGGGTGGACAAGGCCAGGCAGGGGTCCGAGTAGGGATCATGGGGATCAGCAGCTGGGCCCAGGCCCTGTCAGAACAGGTGAGAGTGGGGCACCGGGCTCCTGACTCCACCCAGCTGGCCCCACCCACAGGTCTGCCCCTCTGGGACCCAGGGCCCAGGGCTCCAGGAAGGAGAGCAGGAAGGAGTCCCTGGCAGCCCAGGGTGGGGCTCAGCTTCCTGGGCCCCTCATGTGGCTCCAGCATCCCTCACCCCCAGCTTAGGGTAAGCCAGCTCGGCTCAGCAGGCCTGGGCATTCACTGCCCCTCTGTAAGTTGTTTCTGCCTCTGGGAGAAGGGAATAGTAATGCTGCCTCCATCTGATCGGTACTTTGCAAAATGTGTGTGTTTGTGAGGGATGGTGACTGGGCTGGGGTTACCATCACCACAGCCCTTCTCCCTGTGCTGGGGATGCACCGTGGGGAGCCTGGCTTAGGACGTCTTCAGGGTGCAAGAGGAAGAAGGGCCGGACAGAGCACTGGAAACTCACCAGCCATCGAGGCCAATGGCAGCCTGTTTGTAGGGAGTAAACGTGGCTGAAGAAGGGCCACCTTTGTGGGCTTGGGCAGGAAAGGCAGAGGGGGCGGGGGTGGGCAGCTCAGACCACTGGGAAAGCCGCAGGCGACTGAGAGCCCCTGTCTTTGTGTCCTGCAGGTGACTGGTCCTCTGCAGCCAGGTGCCCACCAAGCTCCCACTGAGTAATCTGCGGGAACGCCTCCAGCGCAGGACCCAGGCAGAGTGAGGCCGCTACAGAGGGGCGCGTCCTCATCCTGACCCCACGTTCTCAGCCCAGTCCTCTTCCCACCTCTCTCCCTGGAGGAGGCAGCCCTCTCCGACCTCCTGACACATCTGCCCCTGTCTCTCTTGGATGTGTGCCTCCAGCCTTGCCTCTCAGGCTCCCAACCTGGAGCTTTCCATCACCTATAGCAATACCCCCCACCTCCCCACACCCCCAATCCGCTCCTAGTGCCAGACTACAAATCGAGCATCTCTGGGCCTCCACCTCCGCCTCATGCCCTCACTCACCAAGCCGTCTCCTAGGCCTCCTCGAACAGCTCACCTCTTCCCTCTTTCCCTGGTGCACGGCAGGTCCAACCCCATCACCTCTCACCTTCTCATCTGCAGGCACCTCCAAATGCCTCCCCAGGCCTGTCCCTCCCACACACACTGCCAGGTGGCTCTAGGCCCTGACTCACAAACCTCCCCCCAAACTCCTTGCCACCCTACTCACACAGGTGTAAACCCAACTCTTCCAAGATGCAACGCCCTGGGGCGCCTCCAGATCCCTCCTGGCTGCCTAACCCACCCCCTCTACCCCCACCTTCCGGGGGTGTGTATCCTGCTGCTTGGCTCCAGGCTTTGTAGAAGAGGAGCTGACCGGAGCCTGGGGCACATGGCTGAGCTGGGTCCCCACTCACCCCGCCCAGGCCCAGCCACCACAGGCAAGTCACTTCCCCTCTCTGAGCTGTTTCCTCACCAGATAGGGGATGATAACACCAACCCACTCACTGCCAGCAGACAATGGGCCTTCCAATTCATCAGAAGAAAGGCACACAGCAAAGCAAAGAACAACTTGGATCACAGAGGGGAAGAGTAAAAAAGCAGCCCTACAGACCAAAAGAAAGAACCCTACCCTCAGGACAGATGAACCAATCGCAATGGGGCCAAATCCGGCAGAGACACACCTTCTAAGATTCTCCCTGTTGGAGGATGGGCAGATCCACGTGACCGACAAGAGCACTCCCAAGAGAGAAGTGCCAATCAAAGCACTGCACCACGTGAGATCCGACCACTGGGTGATGTTTTGAAAAGGAGAATTATCCGGAATATAAACACATGAGAATATAAGCATAGAATGTCTCTGGAAGATCCACAGGGAGTGTAACACTGGTGCCCCTGGGGAGCAGAGCTGGAGGGACTCATCGAGAAAGAGACATTGGTCCCCTCTTTATTTTATCACGTGCACATATTAATCGTCTTTAATGAATTAGAACATAGGAGAACAGCACTTTTTCCCCAAAACTGTGGATTACACGAGAAACATACAGATTTGTCAAGAGGATGCAGAGGATCAGCGTACCCAAAAGTGCTTTATAAACTGTAAAGCCCTGTGCATGGAGATATGTGATGATTAAGGCTGCCTGGACTCAAATTCCGGCCCCAGAGCTTATTGGCCAGAGACCTTGGGTAACTTATCTGATCTGTGCCTCAGTGTCCTCACCCATCAAATGGGATAATAACACTACCTGCTCTGTAGGGCTGTGGTGAGGATTAAACGAGTTCATGCAGGTGAAGTGTGGGAACAGCTCCTGGCACGTGGTAAGCACCCAATCCGTGGTTCCATTATGTCATTGTTTTAATTACGTGGCACCTGTTGCACGCCCTCTGACAGACTGTGAACCCCCTGAGGGTGGGTTCCACCCCTCCACCTGTGCCTGGAGGAAGTGGGGCTCAGTGAATGTTTGTGGACTGAAGGCTTGACCTGCTACCTGGATGGGTCCTTTTCACAGGCAGAGGCGGAACAGCCTGCTTCCCTTGGGTACAGGGAGCCGGGAGTGAAGGTC